AGATTTATGAGTTTGGTTTTTTTTAAATAAAAATATTTTAAGAGAAAAGTGAGGATGAATAGAAACGGAGAGATGAGTTGTAAATTCCTCAGGGATATAGCAGTGGGTAGATCTGTCTTCAGTTTTGAGAAGAGAACAGGTTGGTATTAAAACTTCATTTCATATGAATGATAATCCAAAAACTGTTTCTGAAGAAGAGCTTTTAAAAAAACACAAATCCTGCTCAGACAGATTCTGACATACAGTTGATTTTAGCATGGACTGGAAACACTGAATAAAACAAAAAATACAAACCTATTTTTAATCATTTAGATAAATGATCTTTCTTTTTGCTAAATCCAACATTTGCACTTGTTTGTTTTTTTCCCTGAGTGAACAAATCCAGATTTTTTTCACTTGGACATAGTTTTATTTTTAAATGCGGCTTCCAGAAATGCATGCGTGTGGGATTGCAGTTGGGACCAGTGGAGAGCTGTGGCACTCTGCCAGGCACTCGCCCTGTCCCTGCAATATAGATGGATTGCCAGCGTTCTGGAGAAAAACAACCCCAAAACTTTAAACAAATTATGCTTAATGGAAATAAACTTTTTTTGCCCTCCTGGGTAATGATTTGGATAATGTGCTGGCTGTGTGTTTCTGGAGGACAGAGGAAGGGGAGAGGAGGGCAGAGATGGAGCTCTGTATGCCTGTAACTTGCACCCCAGTGGATGCTCTGGGAAGGCCGTGGGGCAGACTGTGACATTTCTAAGCTTGGAGCATTGTTTAACTCCCTGCCGGTCTTTCTGTTAGAAGGTGAGCAGGTTAGCTACAGCCAGCTACGATAAGAGCATTTATTCAGAGGTGGTTTTCTTCCATATATGGGTTTGTAAGACCTGGAAAGGCATATGCCTTGTATCTGGCATTTTCTGTGTACGGCTTTGACACTGTCTTCCATGTCATTCACCTGATTTCTGCTGGGTTTTGATGATAAGTGATAATGCCATGAAACCAATACCTGGTTTTCTTTTTTTTTTTTTTTTTTAAAAAAAAAAAGGGGGAGCAGAGTAGGCCAAGGCCCTCTTTAAGGGCC